AAAATGCTAAGTTTGTGTTGTGGAAGCTCACCTGTTAAAAGTGGGACTCTCCGTGGGACCAGCAGTTGGTGTAGTGGCTATGTCGCTGGACCCCCATGTAGTTGACTGCAGTTCAAGTCCCGGACCCGGTGACTTAAAACTCATGCCAGGTGTGTGTGCATACGTGCCCAAGATCTGGAGAGGAGAATGGAGGAGAAGGGACTGAATTGTGGCCATCCCCCCGGGGAGGTTATTTCTTACTTTCTGTCTTTCTTTCTCTGTCTTTTTGGTGAGCACACGCACCCTATAGCAAAAACCTCTCCAAGAAAAATAGTAGGACCCTCCAGCAATAGCCAGGTGAACCACATTGGAGATGATGTGGATAAGGAATTCATGACGCCCCACAGGGCTGAGGAGGATGCATGTAGGAGCACAATAGCTAGTCCAAATGAGAATTTTCCACTAATAGACCCAAGTTCACAAGGGTTCAAAGTTAGATTCCCACGTTGGAGATCAGGCTGTTGGGTCTGATTCCCACACAGCATATGATGTGATGAAAGAACAAGCTTGACCAGTGCTGTCAGCGAAGGCTGCTTAACCAGTGAAAGACTTAGGATGTCATTCAATCAAATGTGAAGCAGGAACCAGTTGGCAAAGGTAAGTTGTGCAGGTGTTACATATTTTATTTTAACTCGCACTATTTTATTTTTAAATTTATTTCCCTCTAGCCTCCTTCCTAAAGGGACTATACTTAACTTTCAATAAGGCACATATATAAAAGAACCATTGAAATAAGAGATTCAGAGACAAATAATGAGGTTAGAGGATCAGATTTAGGGATGATATTGACACACATACACACACAAAAGTTTAAGTGAGTCACTACTGAGCTGTGGGAAGCTGCACACCAGCGAGTCTGCCGAGGTTTCTCAGAGAGCAAACAATTACCATGATTGGTTCCCTTCCAAAAACCTGACCTTTGAAACCTTGCTCTGATTGGCCACTAGAATCCCTCAAATTTGCATATCTGGCACCTCATGATTGGTCCAAAAGCAACCAATCATAACCCACCGTTAACAACCAATCAGGGCCCACCGTTTACAACCAATCACAGTCCACCATTTACAACCAATCACGACCCAGTGTTTACAACCCACCAGAGTGTATATAAATAACCACGATGCCTGGCCCACAGTAGCCAGACGACACAGACAACCGAGACGACGACAACGACCAGGAAGACGACAACTGAAGAGCCTGAAGAGCTGAAACACCGCGCAGTCTCCAGACGACCCTGAAGATCCTGAAGAGCTGACACTGCATCGTCTCCAGACGACCTGGGAGACCCTGAAGAGCTGTAACACTACATCGTCTCCGGACGACCCTGAAGAGCTGTGACACCACGTGGTCTCCGTGCTGCTCACAGTAGACGACGCGACACTGCGTCGTCTCTGCACTGTACTGTGCTGCCCACAATAAACGGACGACACTGTCGTCTCCGTGCTGTAACACTACGCCGCTTGTCCCGGCTCTCACTCCTTCACTCAGGAAACCTGTTCGGCTGTCCCCCGGGTCGGGACACTGAGCCCCAAGCTAGTTAGTTGTGTTTAAGACCACATTGACTACACAGTGATTATGTGTGAGAAATTCAGGGCTTGAAGGTAGGGTGTTGTGAAGAATTGAGAAAAGAGACGAGGAAAAGGTTAAAGCAGGGTACTAAAACTCTCTTGGAGTAGAAGCAAAACTGTACCAGAGCAGAGTCCATTTATTCCAAATAAAATCAGATAAGCAGTGAGTTTAGCTCTAAAGAATAATGTACAACATACATGACATTCGTTGTAGGCTATATTCCTGGTACAAGATCAATAGCTATCACTAAGTTAGTGCTTAGACAGTATTTTGGCTACTGGAATGTTGCCCAACATCTTGAGGCACAGCCCATGCCTGGGGCTCCATGGCTGCAGCTTTCCACTTGGGAATGGGGTTGCTTTCAACTCACTTCTGCATTCTTCACTCTGGCTTATCTCTCAGTCCCAGGCTGGTTTCTGTCTCCAACAACCATGAGTAAGTACTTGTCATGCCTAATCTGACATAACCCATGATGTGGATATTGCTATTGTCCTCTCTACTGAAAACATTTTTTAGCTAGTGAAGAAACTGAAACTAGGTTTACCTGAGTCCCACAGCCAGGACATGGTAAAACTAGGATCTGAATTTGGGCTCTTGGGACCAGCAGATGGTGTAATAGTTTTATCACTTGGACTCCCATATATACGGCGGCAGTTCAAGTCCCAGACCTGGCAACTTAAAACTCACACTGGGTATGCGTGTGTGCATGTCTAAGATCCTGAGAGGAGAATGGAGGAGCAAAGATTGAGGCATGGCCATCTCAGGTGGGGGATGAATTCTCTCTCTCTGTCTTGTCTCTCCAGCAAGCACACGTGTCCTATAGCAAAAATGTCTCTTAAAAAAAAGTTTGGGCTCTTAATTAGACCTCATACCAACTCTGAAGGCAGCAAGTACAAGGAGTCAAGGCAGAAAGAGACCAGAATTCAGTATCAGGATTCTATTCCCTGAAGATGCCGAATAACAAGAGAATACAGTAGGAAGTCCTGGATAGGGAGCAAGATGAGAACAAGAGCAGTATCTAATAAGAGTGTCTCCCATCTGTATTTGGGACCAGAATGGCTTCTGTATTAAATATGCAGGTAGCACTTAAGCGGCAACAGCTTTGAAAATTAAGACGAGAAAGGGAACAGGAATCTATGAATGCCTTATATCGTTCCCCTGTACTGGCCACAAGCCCTCCTGAATATATGAAACATAGCAAATAGTTTAATGAAAATAGAAATATAAAACCACATATGCATCATGATTGAAAAAAAAAAAAGGCTAACCATGGAGTTCAGCACCAGGCTAGTTTTCTTTCTCTTAACATTTGATTGCTTTCACTAATAACGAATATCAAACATGAGATTGAAATGACTAGGTCAGCAAAATGCACAACATTCCTATATTTGCTCGTCACAAGCAAAATAACTGCCAAAGGTATAACTTCAACACAGGGATTAATAAAGTTCATGTTGGTTTCTAGCTGCATGAAGTGTAAAGAAATGGATTCCTGACTTTGGTGTATGGAGACAATTATGTTAACGCTGAAAGGACTGTTTCCCTATACATATAGGTGAGTGGGTTTTTAAACATCCTGATGACAGGCATGGACAAAAGAAAATGGGAAGGTATACTTCATTGGAGGAAAGAAAATAAATATTTTCTTTATTAATGAAAATTAATTTACATACATTGTATGTAGATTTCTAGGCTATTTCCCTTCAGTATCTTTTTTTGTTTAAGTGTTTTTGTTTGTTTGTTTACTATAAGGCACATGTGCTTGCCAGAGAGAGAGAGAGAGAGAAAGAAGGGGAGAGAGAGGGAAATTACCCCCTGGGGGGGAGCGATGGCCATGCCCCAATCCCTTCTCCTTCACTCTCCTCTTGGGATTTTGGGCACTCATGTACACACACCTGGCATGATTCTTAAGCTGCTAGCTCTAGGACTTGAACCTTGAGCCTGTCCATGTGGGATCCAGTGCCTTAATCTCTATGCCACCTGCTGGACCATCCTTTCAGCATCTTTTCATGTGACCTACAAGTATGGAACTCTGAGAGATGCTGGCCTGCCATTAAATAGGAAATGCTTTATTCCTGACTTCCTATGATGATCCATTGCACATTTTGGGTCACTGGATTAGGTAATTCAGCCTAGGGAAATGAAGGACAAATCCTTTTTGGCTCCTAATGATTTTGTTCAGAAGTAAGGAATGGGCTTTCTTATCCAAACCAAGTGTACTTGGAATTCACCAAAATGTCATTACCACTTGGCATGACATTGATGTCATACCAAAAGTGTGTGAAGAAATTAATTAGCATTGATTAGTATTTTTGATACTAATAATATAAACATATTTCACAAATTAAAATGTATGATAGTCCCATAGTGACAATTTTTTTTTGAGAGGTTTTTGCTATAGGGCGCATGCGATCGCCAGACAGAGACAGAAAGTGAGAAATCACCCCCCCCCCAGGGGGGATGGCCCCCACGCAATCCTTTCTCCCCCAAAAGTGTGTGAAGAAATTAATTAGCATTGATTAGTATTTTTGATACTAATAATATAAACATATTTCACAAATTAAAATGTATGATAGTCCCATAGTGACAATTTTTTTTTGAGAGGTTTTTGCTATAGGGCGCATGCGATCGCCAGACAGAGACAGAAAGTGAGAAATCACCCCCCCCCCAGGGGGGATGGCCACACCGCAATCCTTTCTCCTCCATTCTCCTCTTGGGATCTTGGGCACACACGTACACACGCCCCGCGTGAGTTTCAAACCACTGGGTCCAGGACTCAAACCGCGGTTGACTACATGGGAGTCCAGCGACATAGTCATTACACTAACTGCTGGCCCCAACAGTGACAATTTAAAGTTAAGTTTGGTCAAATTTTCCTGTATGTTAACAGATCTCACTTTGATAAATAGGTATCTCTATTTCATGCAGTTTCTTCTACCCTGGGATCCTGCAACAGGAGCACTACAAGTTTATTGAATATACACATTTCAACAGGAACAAAGAAGTACGATGGTTTGAAAGGCCCCCATTGACTTCTAGGAAACACTGGCCTGTAAGGGCAATGAACAGTGTTTTGCTTCACTAACGGCCCAAACTCAGTATTTAGGACAGTGACTAGGACATAGATGCTCAATAAATATTAACTGAATAAATGAAAGAATGACACCGAAAGAGTAAATGAAACGACTCTTAGCAAGCACAATCAATATCCTATTGTAATTACAGTCCAGTTCCACCCGCGAGCCAGAGAAAACCCTTTTTCGGGCGGTGACGTGTCTGTCAGTCTTCGCGAGGGGCGGGGCATGGACGGGCCCTCTCACTTTCTCCCTGCAGCCCGCGCCGACGGGCTTTAGGACCCGGCGCAGCACCGAATGTGGCTTGGAGGCGGGCTAGGGGAGGCCGTCGCGTCCAACTGACGTAACCAGCCCGCGCCGACGTTGGCGAGGACGTCGGGAATCGCGAGGAAGCACGTTTCTCGTTCATCTCACCTGGCACGCACCATGGAGGCTCCGGTCCAGCAGCCTCCTCTGCCCGGCGGCGGGAAGCGCAAAGGCAAGGCTCAGTACGTGCAAGCCAAGCGGGCCCGGCGCTGCGACGCCGGCGGGGCGCGGCCGGCGGCACCCCGGCTCCCGGGCATTCTCAT